AGGAGAAGATAAAGACGTATGATTTGAATGTTACTATAAAATGCGTAAAAAAAAATATCTGTTTGTTTCTTAACTATTCGATACGAGAAGACAAGTTGTTTCAATCATAGATAGAAAATATAGAAGATAAATTTCGCTTGATATACACTACGGTATGAAGTCAATTATTTGTCCATGGACTAGCTACTTGAATTTGCAATTACTAACTCTAACGGCTTCTTATTGACAATGAAATATACAAAATAAAAAAAAAACGAAATTGAGAATCACTAGAGAAAAATAAACATTCTTCTTTCTCTGGCAATCTATTTTGAAAATAAATAAAGAAAAAAAAATTGCTTTTTTTTAGTTTTTTTCTTTTAATATTATCCAATATGATTTATGATGGGATAATAAATAAAACAAAGAAGTCACATTTTCTTTTTTGACATATATATATATATATATATATATATACTAATACTCACCTTAATTCATCAAATGTTGTTTTGATTATGTAGTAAGATGAGGATCTGCAAACAAGATTAGGTAAAGAGAAAGAGAAAGAGAAAGAGAGACAGAAAGAGAAGAGAAAACGAGAAGGTGCTGTATGTTACTCTTTGATGAAGAACAAGAAAAAACACTCTTACTAGTAAGAAAGAAATAGTCTGTTTCTTTTCTTCTATTGGATGTCATCATTCTGTCTTTGGTAGCTTGTCGACGAACCGGCTCGGAAGGAGAAGAGGAAAAAAAAATTGCAAGTATAGAACGATTAAGTACACACATAGTATGATGATATGAAAAAGAAAAAAAAAATCAACCAACCAACTAATAGAGTAAAATAGTTCTTTTCTTCATCTTTTATGATTAACCATATAGACAGAAAAAAAAAGAAAAGTATGAGGAATTCCGCTGAATGCATACAGTACATATAAGTTCTTGTTTCTTTCAATGTATCTAGTTCTTTTTGTTCCCTCGAGTTGTGTTACGGTTGAATTCACAAAATGAATCTAATGATATATCTTCTTCATTTGACACTCCCTTTTATTGTGTTCTTTTTTTGTATATAAGTGTGCATTTTTTTAATTATCATCACTAATCTGTAGGTTGGCCTCAGAAAAAGACAATAATGAATCTGGTTTGTAGTAGAATTGTTTATTGGAGAAAAAAGTTTTTCTTTAATTAACAGAATGCCAGACATCATAGACATAAATAAACAGAAGAAAAGATGTGTTAGACTCATCACAATTTGAGTGTTTAATTATTACTTGCCAAAGATGTATGTATATGACAGGTACTAGTTGATAAGAAAAGTCAAATCAAATGTCGTATGTTTTTGTCTTTGTTAATGAAAATGGGAGTTACCATATATGCGCACATCCACACATGTTTCGAACATTTACATTAAGAATAAAAAAAGAAAAAAGATGCAAGTTGGTCAGTGAATATAGAATTGTATAGGGACAAACAATAATTATAATAGTTCGAACAGACAAAACATATTTTCTTTTGATTTATCTATTATCGACAGTCGTTTTTATTTTTTATAGGTTTTTTGTTTATTATGTTAAAGTGAGAATCATTATTATTCGACACTTATCATCATCAAACGAATGCCTCAGGCAATATATATATATACATATCTATCTATGTTGTTAAGCATTTACTAATTATATTTTAGGCTTTTCTTTTTTGCTTAGATATTAAAAAAAATAAATGATGTAAGTTGGCATCTGCTAAAATATGAACAGATGCATAAGATTGAAGAAATTCGATTCGAATGATTGTATTTGTTCTATATATATATATATTGTACACTTGATCACTATGGGTCGCTTGTGAGATTAGAAGATTTGTGACAAACAATCTGTTGGTCACCACTATGATGATATTGACATAAAAAAAAATAACACGTTAGACTTAGTGATTAAATATTGACTAAGTGCAACAGCAACTAGTTCGACAGATTTGATCAAATACAAAAAAAGAAGAAAAAAAACGAAAGAAGAAGAAGCTTCGAAAATACAATATTTCATCTGTCCAACGACTGGTATTTACGTATCATACAAAAGAAAAACTGTTGTATTTTTCTTGCATATATATATATATATATAACATATCAGGTATATACTGATTAAATCTAATCGATTTATAAATATCAGACAAGAAATCACCTTTGCTCATAAATGAAATTTTTGTTTTTTTAATTAAAAAACACAGTAGGTTGACTTTGTCAATCATATATAGACATCAAAGACTCTGGTTGTTTTTTTTTGCTATGTATTGTCATATAGAACTTTCATTGAATACAGTTGAACGATGATTGAAGATGGTGTTCTTGTTGTTGCTGATGTCTCTCTTCTATCTCGTTCATTTATGATAGCGAATAGAAGATGGTGGTAGTAGTTGCTTGAAAATATTTGCTTCATTAATTTTTCAATTAGCTGCACGATGGACACGCCATCATCGTTCGTTTGTTCGCGTGTGCATATATAGAGATAAGGTTTCTATTGGTGTATTCAATGTGTGAGTGTGAGCCTAGAGGACATTGTAAGAAAACAAAAAAAGAAATAGGTTTCTGCTTGAACACATTTATAAGAAAAAGAGACATGATTGTTTTTCAGAATCTTATTTCTCTACTAATACAGACACGTGTATATATATATATATATATCAGGGTAACCTAATCTGCACAGAAGAACTTCTCATGAAAAAGAAAGGAAGACATTACAAAAATGCTATCCAATTTAAATTAGATTCTTTCTATTGAAATGAATCATCTATTGCATGTCATCGAAATCAATCCTGTTGAACATCACTTTCATCAAGAGAAAGAAATGATGGAACATATATATTAATTGATCTATGCGTAGAAACATGCAACTGTCGAGTACCTTGGAAATTTCTTTCTTTTTTTAAAGAATTATAATAAAAAGATTCTCTTGAGATATGAACACAAAACTCAAAATGAAAAAGAAGAAGAATGTTAGCTCATCAGCATTTCAATTTTAATATGAATAGTTAATGAGTAGACACATGTAGGAACAGATGGAAGGATGAGAAAAGAGCAAGCTTTAAGCCAATTTATCCTCGTTTCGTTCATTGAACATAAGCATTAGTGTGAAGAATCTTCGTCAAGGGAATATATATATATATATGTATATGTACTATCGACATAAACGAGAAGGAATGATTATCAATGAAATGAGTAACTACATAACCTATTATCAGAAACAATGAAACAAATGATTTATGAACGTTCATTTGACAAACAAAACTAACTTTCTTACTTTTCATTACAATCTTTATGAATCATTTAAAGAAACTAACGATTTATAAAGATTATTTAACGAGATGTCCTGGGGTCATCAGGATTAGGGAGCCATGAGATCAACTGCTAAGGTTAGTGGTATTTTCTGTAATTAAACATGTACATCGATATTAGGAATGCTCACAGAAGAGAGGATCGATCTCTTCTTTCTCTCAAGAAAACGCTGTACTATCAATTTACAATGTTTATGTTTGTATCGACACTTGTGTCAAATATATACATGATGCATATAAACACTAGTATTTTCTACCTACTTTATGATTTACATGTAATAGTATCAAGGAAATTTTTTGTCTGCAAACATTTATCAAAAATAATGAACAAAAAACGGAAAGATATTAGTACATATTTCGTATCGAACGAGAGATCTAAACATAAAATAGTAATTTCCATGATTTCAATAATAACAAGGAAGTTCGAGCTGTATTTCTTCATGGTTGGTTAATCGAAGTTTTAACATTATTATTATTGTACCTGTGAAAGATCATAATATTGGATTATATGTTTCAAATCAAATAGTTACGAAAGATTTTTGATTATTAAATCGACTGTTAACGGAATCATGGATTCCATCACCAAATTATATTTTTCCAAAAATTTGATCAGTATGCCAACATTCACATAGCTAACATATTTGAAAATGAATCAAGAAGTTCATTGTTGGTATTGTGTTTCATTTTCAAGGAACGGAAACAACCGGTGTCTCGAACGATTTCTTAACAGATCATTAGAAAACTATTGATTATTTATCGAATGATGATAAATGTGAATATCAGGAAGATTTTGCTATTCAAGCAATTAAATGCATCAATCTTTATTCATATGGAAACTCATATGGCAAATATAGATACATATTCTTCTTGTCGTTTTTCATTATACAGAATAGTTATTAAATATGAATAAAGACGAATATAGATAATTATCGTGCACCAGAAAAAGTATCATTAAAACTACTAGATGAAAAAAATTTGATCCTCCTCTATCGAAAAATCCTGTAAACAAGACTGACAAGTATATCAACAAATTTAATTCTTGATGAGTTCTATATGAAATTTAAAATTTTAAAATGCTCTTTGCCATACCTTCAATTAATAAATTTCAATCGAATATTTGTTTCCACATGATCATAAGCGAAACGTCTACTGCAATATTACTATTTACAAGTGCATTGCATCATCCAACATTATTCGTATTAGCATATATTGAATCTTTAAAATGTACTTACTCGCATTTCTATTTGAAAATGTAGAATAACTATTGGCAATGGCAGGTCATGATGGCTATGCTCTTTTGAAATAAACTTCAAAAGTTATTGGGAGTATTGTTCTTAGTTTTAATAATTTTTCTTGTTTTCTTTTGGATACGCGATGACCCCAGATAATTATGCTGTTGTGTGATGATTTTTGTTTTTTCAAGCACTTTATATTTTATTATTTGTTTTTTTGGGCTGGATAAAAGTGTTTTTCTTCTCCGTCGAAAAAAATCATATTTTTCAAATAAAAAAATTAATTATACTATCGGGCGATGATTATTTGTTTAGAGAACGTTGTACAATGAAATCAACGAATGCATTAATGAAAAATTTGAATAATAGAATTTTTACTTTCTTTCTTCTCTTGATATTTTCATATTTATATAGTGTTGAAAGTTGTGCATAAAACATTCAGAGAAGAGAAAAAACGAGAATACAATGGATTCGATTACTATCGGATGGACAAAAAAATCGCCTGGTGAAGTCAAGATTGCAAGTAAAAAGAAAAATGGTCACAATCATATACCACGCAAAGTAAAGAGAATCATTTTTCTTTTCCGAAGTCCATAAGACTTTATTATCGGATTAGATTATACCTAAAAGACAACCGCGAACATTTCAAAATAGAGAACCTTTTTATACAGGAACAGTTCGATCTAACAAACAGCTTCTGGAAGATTCTCCTGATACGTTGAGTTCAATACGAAACTTTGCTTTAAAACCAGTAGACGATTCTGCTTCTCAGTAAGAAAAAACCAACTTTCTTGTTTATTTCAAAATAAATATTTTTCAGCATACAAGTATTTGATGATAAACGACTGTGTAGCGTACGAGCAGCAATTGTTACATTTGTGATTGCTATTGCACTTATAATAGCTTCAGGTGCTTCTATTGGCATTGTATTTGCTGTTATAAATTCTAGTCATTCATCTAAAACTGGAAGTGATAATCAGGATTCGTGTATGTAGTTTTGTTGAAGAATAATTTCATAAGAAAAGTTTTTCGTGTTTCAGATACAACAGTAACATCAGGAATAACTAGTAGTATACGCATCGGTAGTCAAACTGGATCAGGATGTTCAGGCTATACAGAAATCAATGATCCATCACGAAGTATTAATAGTGCCGGATTTTATAGTTCCTGTGATAATGGACCAATATTCAACACAAGTAATGGTGGTGCCTGGATTCGATTTGTTGGTACTGGCGGTGATAGAATTACTACGGTATCAGCTGGTACCAATCATTGTGGTGGTTTTTTATCCGGCTGGTACAATGATACATTACCAACAGCACAAGATGTTGTCACCAATGGAATAATATGCTTTGACACTACACAACTTGAATGTATCTTTACCGTTTCTGTGTCAGTAATCTATTGCTCTGCTGGTTATTATGTTTTCTTTTTACCACCTATATCTATATGTAATGCACGTTATTGTACGACTTGATTTTATCTTGTGTATGTATAGTTGTGAACTTAATTCTTATAATAAATAATGACATCGACGTTCTATTGGTTTTAAACATCATTAGATCTTACAGCCAATTCTGTTTATTCTTATCATACGTATAGGAAGTCTATCGCAATATTGCACTGAAACCATCTTTGTTTCTTTAAATAATAATCTCTGAAAATATCAGATTGTTTGTGTGAGTGGATCACAACTGTCAAAATTTATGAACGTCTTAACGAGCTATGTTTTCAGTAACATTATGCATACGATATTTTCATATAGAATTCATCGAATGCAAACATCGTTGATCGTTAACATAAATATTTCATTGATATATCTGGACAATTCATATTTGAATGAGTATATATTTTGAAATATTGATGAGAGAACGTTTTCAACTTATCAGTCAAATTCGTTTTTGAAAACCTTCAAGATGATATTATTTAATTGAAAGCTCATTTTTGATGAGGGAACATATCCAACTGTTGAATGCCGGTCAGCTTTATTTTATGGCAACGAATCTGTCTTGGTGAGAGTAAGAAGCGATTATAAGGGTTCCAAGTCATGGTCTACTGATAAAGGTTTTTACTAAGAATAAGACATTTCCGAAATGCCAGAAAAAAAGAGTTTCGAGTTGGAATTTTACCTTTAGGCACATTTCATAGTTATTAGATAGTCCTGAAAGTTTCAATCGAAACGAACACGTCTTTCTCTAGATCTTCGATTTTCAAGTAGATTTGATCGCTGTGTCCTCCGATGATAAACAGCTGCTTTTTAAGCTATTGAATATCTTGCCAAGACTATCTAATGATTATAAAATCTGCCTATAGATAAAATTTTGGATTAAAACTCTTTGTTTTGAGTTTTTCGAACATGCCCTTGTTAGTCTAGAGAACCAACATATAAAGAACTGAGAGGAACTCTCACGGTCATATTCTCAATCAGCATCATTGATAATCCATAATCGAGTAGCTTTTGGTAAGGATGTGATTTATCAGTTGAAAATGTTAGGTCGGAAGTTCAATATCAATTTCGAGTCATGCGGAGAAAGTTTGAATAGTAATTCAAGATTTTTTAAATTCAGTTTCTCATAAACTAAAATGAATTGAATTTACTTGAAAAATTTAACATTATAAAGCACTGCATATATCAGAAAGCAAACAATCAGTATTATTCTATACTCTTTTATTAATCAATTAATTGTATTTTACTTAGATTTGTTGAGATTTATTTTTGAAATCCAGTAGTATCATCTTTTATACTCTGTGTGAATTTGAAATATCCATGCAATCACTTATTTGTATTATTTTTAGTCATCTTTTCTCAGTCTATTTGTTGCTTGGAATAATAAGCATACCATTTTGTGTTCCGTAGAATAAAATGAACTGTAGAACGCTCGATGGGAAATATATGGAAAAACAATAAAAACCACTGTAACTTGGATATACATATTATTTTGTATCTGAGAAGTTTGTGGATAGGCATTGGATTACGAATAATTTGGATGAATTCAGTCCGCTTTTCATAGATAAGTTTGCCTTAGATCAATATGGAAAAGCTTACTTTGATATTTCAGATGTACCAAGAAGTACAAGAAAATTGCTAGAAGTGCAATATATTTGCAGACTTACTTATTTTTTTCGTCGAAATTTCTTATGCATGTTGCTTTTCTCTTTTAATAGTTGGATGTGCACTTACACCTCTATATGTTATTAATTAGTGACTCATATAGCTTAGCTATTTGTTTTTAAGTACAATTCATCTTTATTTTTATCACTGTATGACTTACTGTATTCTTTTCGGTAACTGGACTGTATGATTTTACATTATCTACATGTACTAAGTATTACTTCGATCCGTTTATTAAACATTGGCATAAAAATACTTTATTTCATATTGAATAAAGTTTGTAGGTGAAATTTAATGATCCATAGAAGTAGACAGAACTAATGATAAACACAAAGGAGTACGTTTTTTCCTTTTTTCTCTCGATATACCATTTATTACCTTTATCAAAAACGATCGATATATTCAACCTGTGATTGCATATTTCAACGAAGGCATGTTTTTCATACATGCTAAATAAATTGGACATTTTTCAATTTATTAACACTGTGAATTGTACTAAATAGAGGACACCAGGACCATTCGGATCTCTGTCCAGCTCTAGCACTAAAACATCTGTGTAAACTTTTAAGCGGTGAGAAATTGAAAAGTTCTCAATAAGGATATTTAGTTATATTTTTCGTTAATCCTTATAGATATTAGTTCAGGGTCCATAGCAATGAATTATTTCATCAGCAATTCACCTCTCAAATAATTCGACAATCAACTGCAAATATATCAGTTAAAGATGACGATCTTCTAAAAGACGTGTTTTCTTTTAATCTCTATTTTGATGATACATTCATTTACTTTTTCATGTTATCATCAAGATAACTACTTAGTAATACTCTCTTCATTCAAATTGTATTTTATTTTAGTCGAAGTCAGTTCATGAAAGAGTATATATCTTGCCAGTTCAGCAGAAGAAAAATGAGGTACGCATCATTGCTCATGGTGTATTACGAATTCATTGATTAATCAATAGTTGATAAAATCTTATTTGCAGCTTGAATACCAGTTTCAAATGCAGCGTTCACAGTAGAATAGTAGTGTTCATGTGTTGCTTCACCAGCAAACAGAATTCTTCGAATCTAAAATTAATCCGTTCGATTAACAGTTTTAGTATATAATTAAATGATACTCTTTTTTATGTATGACTCTGTAAAATCATGATTTTATTGTTTGAAATATCCTTTAGGTTTCTATCAAAAGTAATTCATAATGACAGAAAATAATTTTCTTAAAACCTTTAATTTTTCTTTCTTTGACTAGACTACGGTCTATTCTTCTCAATATCATTTCTAAATTGTAATTAATGCAATCATACCCCATCTGGTGCATACGATGCTCGCAATTGTCTTCGATCGTGTTTATTTGATTTAATCGACGAATACGAATAAGATCCTCGAATATATTTATTATTATGCCATTCGCTTCTAAATATACATAGAACAAAACACTCGAAGATCATCAACAGTCTATCAATATACAAACATCTTACTTAAGTATTCGAACTGGTTGATATTTTTCTTGAGCAATATTCAAACAATTGCAGAGAACTTCATGACAAATTTGCCCAACTAATTTTTCACTTAGATTTTCTATCATAATTGCGGCTGGACCAACAAACCAACAAATTAAAACTGGTATATCAGTTGATGGTAATACATCAAAATGAAATAACATGCTAACAATCGCTTTAAATATATCTGTATCGACTCGTTCAGCGTGTAGCTGTTCTCTTAATCCATCAGACATTTCGAACGACAGATCTTTTCTTGTATGTAATAACACAATGCTACTGATATGTCGATTCCAAAATTTCTTTTTATATATCATAATCACCTAATGTGAAAACAAAAAAAAATTGTCTTTTAATGAATTTTAACCGAAACATTTTTGAGCATGACAAATGTTCATATTTGCTAATCTCATCTATGTACAGTCTCGCTCAAAATTGATCGTATACTCTACTGACGACTCTATTTTCCCAATAGCACCAGAAAGGTTGAACATTTTGAGGAGTGGGTTTTTTAAGAAAAATGTAGTTTTTATGAGCTGCAAGTATCGTTTCTGTTCTATGTCAACCTTCTGTGCTAGATAAAAAAATATTGAAAATAACATTCTTTTGATTTGACTCAAAATTAATTGTACAAGTATACAACAATTGGTTGTAATGATAAAAAAATAAAATTGACAAAAGAATAATTTCTTAAAATTATAGTATGAATAGTTTAGTAAATTCTTCTGATTGAGCATAAAGCCTAACACGAGAGCAAGTGGTGATTTTTTTGAAAATTTCCCCTAATCCATATAGTTCTTCCTTCTTTTAGAAATTCTGTCTGCTAGAGTTTTTTCTATTTGACAATGAATATACTTTTTTGTCTGTTCGTAACATTTCGATAGATTCAAAATGTGAATGTCAACATTCAATTATTGTTAACCAGCCAGATCATCTAAGAATTCATTCCACGGGATAGATGTTCATTTTTTACATACCACACTCATCCTCGCGTGATGCTCTGTGTAATTGAATCGCATACCTTGGAGATTGAAGCTTGTAGAACAGGAAATAGGAACTACGCTACTGTCAAACATGCAACCAATTCAACACTGCGACTAATCGTACACTTCATACAAAAATATACGTAAATGTTACAATAAAAGTTTTGATAAAGTTTTTCTTGTATTTAGAATTCAAATACTTTTATAATATATTTTCTTTTCGAAATTACAAAATGCAAGTTGTTTTTTATTGTAAAATTCATATATACTTATATATGAAGTGTACTATCTTTTTCGATCCAAATCAAAGAGCATGATTTTCTCTATATGTTGGGCATATCTTGAAATATTAAGAAAATAAAGTTATTTGTTGACTATGTGGTTAATTTGGAGTGCTATTGTCTTCTAGAAACTAGGATATATAAATTATTAGTTTCAGGTGATTGTAAACATCAAACCATATGCTAACTTACTTTGTTTATTGTACCAAAACCTATATTAACAATACAGTTTTGTTTTTGTTGAATTAATTTTGGTTCTTCAGCAAATATTGTATGAAGATTCTTTTTTAAGTAGCCTAATGAAGTTGTCCAAATAATATGATCACACATCATGCTTTTCATACGTTGTTCATTTAGATAATTCATTTCGACTAATAATTTTTGATCGTCTTCAATAAATTTTACTCGTGTTACTTCACAATTCAAACGAATACGATTATCATTTGGTATGAAAGATTTTAAATAATTAATAAATGGACGATATCCACCATTTTTTAAATCATTTTCGTATTCACCTTCGAGATCTTCATAGGCAAGATATTCTAAATAGTCGACGAATAGAATTAAATATGAGAAAAAAATGGTAGATAGATTATATAGTTTACCACTTAGATTTAAATCCGATAAAGAAGAACAACTAGTTTCCGTCATTTCTAATTTCATAAAATAATCAATAAAAGGTTGAATTAAATCTCTGGAAAAAGATGAAGAAGATAATAATCGTTTTTGAAATTCTTTAGGTACAATATCAGCAAATGGTATAGGTGATGATGCTGTTCGATCATCATATTTTTCTTCAGCTTTGTCTCTTGCTCGTTCCCACAGATCAGTCGCCTTGTCCAGTACTTCAGATTTTACATTTTTACCTTCGGATGTAACAATCAATGCCTCTATATAAAGTAAAAAAAATATTAATTAACGAATAAAAGTTCACATCAAAATATATATTTGTGATCTATTCTTTGAATACTTCAGCCATGTTTCTCATGCTTGTGTTTTTTTCTAATAAACAGTGTTTTATGGTTTCTAGAAGATATTTTCCATTGATAAGTTTTCACACATAGAACAACAATGGATGGCACATAATCAACGAGACGAAATGTCTTCTTCTATTTCTGGCACTTCTCAACACATTAAAGCACTTCCTTCTGTACAAAAATTACTGTCTTCGTTTTTCAAATAACTTTTTTTATGTCGGCAAAAGCTTTAAAAGATGAGTACCTACTCAATTGATTAATTACGATCATCAAAAAATGAAAAAAAAGCTTTTATAAAGGTTCCGTTAAAATTTCAAATATGCTATTGAAATAAAAAAAATGTGAAAAATCATTTTCTGACAGAATTATATCATGATTCTTTTCCTAATTCTTCTACTCTTCAATGTAATAATCATCCTAGTTTTGTTCTGAATTAAATTCTACATCCAATGGCATGAGAACAAACGTGTCATAGATCAAGGTTCACTTTGGAAAATATGGTTTTCTGTTCGTTCAAAGCCTTTTTCTACTAAACAACAACAGCATAAACTTTGAAAAAGTGTATGGAAACAGAGAGAGAGCACGAAATTTTCTATCACAAATCAATAGATGCTTGCAGAAAGTCGGAAATCGCAGTTAGATAATTGCCTAGGTGTTTATCATTTCAAGTTTGCACCGACAAAGACATTGTTTTTGCAGAGCAGGAAATTCTCTATTGTAGTCTCTAATGTGTTAGGAAGTATCCTAAAAAAGAGGAAAATATTTTGTTCGATTTTATATGCTACCCGTTAGAGACGAGAAACTTATGGAACAATACATTATTTTTTTTTCAATCTAAAGAAATTTTGCGTCTCATGTGTCTAATCCGATCGTCTCATTGTGCACTGTTTCGACAGAATCATTAACAGCAATGAGTTTTTTTTTGTACAGGTTTCGAAAAATTTGATTTTTAGTAATATGGTTACTAGCATCAAGAGTTAATAACATTTACTTCATTTTTCAATTCCTTTTAGTCGTTCGATCAAACAGAACACTTACAAGATCACTAAATAAATATATAATAAAAAGATCTCTATAAGCTGCAATTCCAGATTAAATCAATCATGTGAACATTCTCTTTCCTCTAATTACATATAAATTGACATAAGGAATTAGCTGTACTTATTGTTCACGATATCATTTTTTATTTTTACATACCATCATCAGACTCTTCATCATCTGACAAAAGAATATTCAATTCATCACAAATATCATACACAGTATTTTTCTTGTCACCATGTACATATTGAGCACCCTGACAATAGATTATTTTTTGAATAAATAAAATAACAAAATCAAAGTGTCTATTTACCAAATCGACTGTAAGATTCGGTGCTGATTAATATAGTAAAAAAAAATTAAAATGCAAAAACAAAAATCAATATTAATACCTGCATCAACAGTAAGAATACGACCACCAAGATAATTTTGTGCTTCGACCAATACATAATTTACATCGCGTCCTAAGGTTTTTGCAGCTGCTAAACCTGCTACACCACCTCCAACAATAATTACTTTAACATACTCCATACTTTTTTTTTCCTTTCAATACGAACAAGTAACTAAACGTTGACAAAAACAACAACATACATTACTCAATATTTACATACAAATGTTTACTGTCATAAACGATCAGCTGTATCTTGTTGTGCAGAAATCAAGTTACTTATATACGAAGAAGAAACGAATGAAGGGCACACGTACACTGTCGTCGGTAAATTTTGCATCCAAGACATGCACCGTTTGTGACGCTGAGAAAAAAAAAGAAAAAAAAGCTATTGGCGTTTGTTTTTAACCATTTGATAAAAGAAACTTCCAGACCTGAATTAAATACGAGGTTACGGTATTTATTACAGAAAAAAAGTCTAAAGCTTAAAGGAAAACAAAAAAAAACCAACGTCACAAAAGAAGTATTAATTGGTAAACAAGGTTTCTTCATGTTCTTTGATGTCGAAGAAATATGTTTTGCAAACTATTAATATTCTATTCTTTTTTATTTTCTTGTTAGTAATTTTATAGACACGCAAAGTTTATGTCGGTTATTACGACATTTTAATAATGATTAACAGCTGTTGATGTGAAGAACTAAATATCTTTAAATAATTCATTAAATTGCTTAAAGTCATGTTGGCTGTTATGATTCTGTCTTGCACTCCGATGTTGAATCATACTAGTACATTGAATTATGTTCAATTAAATTAATAACTGACTGACGAATTGCTGAGAATTACAATAAACTATGATAGAATTCAAGGTTATCGTCATGATAAAGTGGTTTTTGTTTTTCTTCTTAATATAGCATTAATTACTTTGATAATCTAATGTGTTAAAAAATGAAAGAAAATCTTCTTTTAACAAACAAATGAAGAATGATGTTATCTATTAAATAGTAGAACGCAAGAATGGAAAAAAGCGGAAGACTGATCTACACTAATGAGTTTGGATTTATATACGCTTGTTTTAGTACTTAAAAGAATGATAACATCTAACTTTTCTTATTGGTATCTTGTAGTGGAATCTTTTCGCTTCAGATTTATATCTGTAAAAAGAAAAAATTTGCAAATATGTGGGTGTGATTATTACGCGAAATGATTTGTTGCAATAGAGACATATTGTTTGATATAGTTTCTATTTACATTCATGACATATCGACACATATGGTGCAAGGACAGAAATAATTAATTTCTAATAACAGTTGCTAATCTTGACTTCTTTGAAAATAAACAATTAACAGGAAATAAAGCTCATGAACGCAATAAACTTTTGCTTGATTTCTATGTGTTCATTGACGCCTTTGCTTATTGATATACTATATGTATTTTCAAGTTTTTTACATTATGCAAAACATTTCCTTTCGTTTATAATTAATTGATATTTTGTTTCCATACTCAAAGTTTTGTTACAGTTGAGAGTATTTTGTTGCCGTTGGCTAGAAAAAATCATTATAGTTGTCCTTGATTCATTCTTCGTCTAGCAGTTGTCAATTAGTTTGCTATCTATTATTTCTTTCGTCGTCAGAGATGAACATTAATTTCAATGTATTAATTCAGTTGATCGGAAACTATGGATGATTATGTCGTTTGCTCTAATTTATTAAGCATTTCCGATATCGGATTTATCATGTTCTTCTTAGTTTAATGGTATTTTTTTATTCGTTGAGAGAGACACAACGGAAAAAAATAAACAAAAATGCACTTCAGTAGAAGTTTGATGATTACTCTTAATCGATAGACTTTGTTGAATACATATAGCGAAAGAATTATGTGTAAAACCAAAAGAAAATATAGAACAATATAAAATAATAATCAGTACAGATGTAAGCCAATGGATGCAGAGGTTTTAAAATATTAGCTGTTGTTGCCTGTTGCTTCTCACAAACAGTGCTTTTGAAATTAACATTCTTCTATTTAAATAAATCTTTAGCTATTTAAAATCGAGCGCTTTTAAAGCCTTTCTTTTGTAATAGCATTTAGTTTATTAATCTTCATCATATTATGAGCTACTCAAAAGAGATAATAAATATACAGATTTTAAATACTTAGTCACATAGTAAAAAAAAAGAAAATACAAAATTCAATTAGAAACCAATTAGTTATTTAAATCATTTAATAGTTGTATACAGTTTTTGGAATAGCTAACTGAGAACTAAGCAAAATTGTTCCAGATGTTTTTCATTGCTATTTTTTAAAGTCTTTTATATACAAAAAATGTGTATCGCGCTTTTGAGAAAGAACTCTTGCCAGATAACATAGCAGAAAACATGTCGCGTACAACATTTAATTGCCAATTTTGTTAATCTTCGCATGTCATATTATTTAATTGTAACTAATGCATTATCTTAGAGACATCTCTAAACCTATCTTATTTTTACTCAATTTAAATATTTAATATTTCATATTAGCAGTTCTTGATTCAAATAAAAGATATATTTCATGATATTATTGTTTTTTTATTCACCCATCTACATCCAACCTTTTCCTTTCTCGCCAAAAAAAACAATCATAATAAATAAGTAGCCAAGTGATATTTAAATAGCTATAAATATTTCATAAAATAGTGCTGCTATAGAAACCGGACAGGTATCTGGTATGTGCCGATATGCTGAAACAACTCTTTGTAAGATATTCAACCAAAATCCTAGGGTATACTGTTACCCAGGCAGACAAAACTTTCGAAAAACGCGTTTAAACGCACAATCGGGAACCGCGACTGTGATCCATTCACGCTCATTATAAAAACGCAAGAAACGACGTTTTTTGTACAAATTAGTCACTTTTCAAGCGTGAAAACGGTGGAAAACTTAAATTTCTAGTGTTAACACGTTCTCTTTTTCTAGATTTAAAAAACGACGTGTGTAAACGCTCAGTTTTTTATATTTTTGCCGTTTTCACGCTTGAAAATTGACTATTTTGCACAAAAAACGTCGTTTCTTGCGTTTTTTTAATGAGCGTGAATGGATCACAGTCGCGGTTCCCGATTGTGCNAATTTTTAAATGAATGCAGTGGTAATAGAAAAAAACTGATTTTCCAATTCTGACTTCAAACTTTGCATAGAAACAGATCTTAATCAGAGTGCCTACTTTTACTGTAAAGGTATCTTAAGATACGAACAGTGACCAGGAACTATTCTTGTTAAGGACTGTTTCTATGCAAAGTATCAAGTCAAAAATCAGTATTCCTGAATGAGACCACGGCATTCATTTGAAATATGCCGTAAATTTGCAGTATATCAGCATTAATAGACTATGAACATAAATTGTTTTCAGGATATTCATAGCACATTGGGTTCTACATAATCCACGTAGTCTAGATTCACAAGTGATTAAACAGTAAAAGGATTTTCCTCGTAAAGCTTCAATAATTTGTACATTGACTGCTAATCCTTTCTTTTCTTTATATAGATTGTATATAACTAAAGTAAAGAAGTTGAATTGTGTGTTATAAACTTCTTTTATAACTGTGACATAGGATTTTCTACAGTAATACTTCATTGATGACATTTGCTTATAGAACAGTTATTAATCAATGCAAACAGTGAAAAATATATTTTTAAATATTATTGAATTAGTAACTGATGAAGCTGTGCACAGTATGTAGAATAAATCATTCATCATCATGAAATGAGACTATAATCAATATGATGATAGAAATTTCCAATGACAATTATACTCAGTCTATTCAAAATCTTTTTCTAAAATGTCATTACTTATTAATAGATATTCATCCAAACTGTTTGGGTCATGTCTTTGCCTAAATGAAGAAAAACACCCCTACCTACTAAACTACATAGTAAAACATTTTTCCATCGGTATAAATTTGAAGTAGAAGAATAATATTAGAGAATGTCAAACGAAGGATTTCAACAACTTTGTCAGAGTACCTGATAGAGATCAATCACTCATTAAACTAAACTGTTCATAGAGAATACATTGTTTAGAATGAAAGACAAAAACTAAAAGTTACAAGATAATTAGATAGAGAAATTTTTTCTCTATAATTTCATTTTGAAATCAAATTCTAATGGTCGTCATTACGTTCTAAAAAAATCTTTACAAATGAGTATGTTTTTTCTTACTCATTATCATTTCGAATAGTAGTTATACTTGGAGTCGATGGACGAGATGAATGTACATGTTGCATATGTAATTTTAAACTTTGATCTTTTTCAAAATTTTCACCACATATATGACAACGAAATAAGGCTGTTGTAGTTGGTAAAGATGGTGGTACAACAAAACATTTACGAATATGAAAATTATATTGTTTATCAGCCGTAAATTTTTTTAAACATTTTTTACACTAGAAAAAAAAAAATATTTGAAAACGATCGAGTTAATTTGATTTAACAAACCTGTAATGAAGGACTGTTCATTTCTTCATGATATGCTAAGTGTACACGATAATTTTGTATTCGTTGAAATTTACTTTTACATATATGACACTAAAAGACAAAAGCGAATAAAATTTTTATTCTTTTTATTTTTTTAATTTTTATTTTACTTTAAATGGATGTGTGCCAACATGACTAAGTAGATGTCGACGAAATAATTGATCAAGTATTCGAGGACTTTCCGTTTCACTAGATAAAACAAATATTTACCAAAAACTATTCGCTGTCACTTTGAATAAATGTTTTTTTTTTTATACAGACATGATATCTGTATGAAACTCATGAATAGATAACTGCGATAGAAAGATGGTTAATAAAATTAAGTGTTATATTACTCAAGAACTATTCTCTCCTCGAAGAATATTCTATAGCATTGAAATGTAACTAACTGCTATGTGTTAACTTATATGCAGCTGATCCTATACTCTGGATAAGATCAGACAGAACTTTCCTTGAAGCATCGTGCTTTAGCATGTATAGACAAGTAGATTTCATCTCTCGTCAAGTTTCATGGTTATGCAAGTTCTTAGATCGTTTATTAGGTATACCTTTCAATTCTTGCATTACAATGTGGTAAAAGACATCGATATGATCGTCGACGAAAAACAGATGCTGTTTCAAGTGGTTTCAATGTTAAATCTTGTAAATGTCCACTACCATGTGAAACAAAATCTTCATAAGCATCAAATTCAGCTGAACATAGTACACAACGATATATTCGAGAAAATAATTTATGAATATCATTGATCTAAAATAACAAAAAAAAAAAATTTGGTTGTTGTTATTATTATTTATAATTTCAAAAAAAATACTTTATTCATCGTTTGTACATTTGTTTTTATTGTTGTATCATTCATATTTTGTACAAGTGATGCACATTTATCTGCTGTATTATTTTCATTTGATACAACAGTAAATTCAATACCAAATATTGATATATTTGAACCATAAAATTTATTTAATTGATTATTTTCATCTGCATTATTATTATTATTAGTTATTGATGCTTGTGCAATAACATGTTTTACTGCCGGATTTATATGAACAGTTGGTGTTATATCTGTTTTTCGAACAATATACACATTTGATGATGATGATGATGTTTGTTCCGTAGGACGTGTTGCATTACTTAATCGAATAACACGTACAACACGACGTTGATTTGTATTTGTATTTGTTTGAATAGGTGCTGTATCATTTCGACGTATAATACGTACACATTGAATATTTGATTGAGATGATGATGATGATGAAATAATAGGTGATGATGTTGATAAATCTGGTAGATTTTTTTCATTAAATATGTGATCATCATGTGTTGATGATATTATATTATTAGCAAGATCAAGACCATCAAGAAATGAAAGATTCGTATCATCTTTAGATTCAGAAAAAAAATTTGTATTAGATTCGATTATTTTTGGTGGAATATTATTATTATTATTATTATTATTTATTGTTGTTGTTGTCGTTGTTGTTGATGATGGTAATGAAAAATATTCATCATTAAAATCTTCAAATGTTGGTTGAGATAGAATTAATGGTGTTGAAGGTGAAAATGAATTTCGACGAGATTTAGTTAATGAGATTGTAGAATTAAGACTATTACGACGTAGATTATTTGTTGTTGAATTATGATGAGAATGATATAGTGGATAACTATTTAACATGTTGTTTTTCCTAATCTGAAAACAAAACAAAAAAAAAAAAAAGAATTCTATTTTCATTTGTTATTTTTCAGAATTTAATCGTTTCTTTTTTTTTTTCTTTTTTTCGTTTTTTTTTCTAATGAATTATTTTCAGCTAAAATTTCTTGTTCAAGAAGACGATGTTTTCGTTTATTGATTTTTTCTGCTTCACCAAAATCTTCTTCATCAAGTTGAATTTCAACTTGACTACGAGTCATTGAGACTTCAACAAGAAGTTTAAGAACTTCTTTTTCTTTTATATGATATTCTATTAATGGTTTATTTATACGATCTTCTATTTTGTGCATTAATTTTACATCATATTGTGTTACAAATGTTATAGCAGTACCACTACGACCTAAACAATGAAATATAGAAAAATTAATTTTGAAAATTTTCATAAACTCTTAATTTAATAGTTCAAGAATTTGCTAACGAGAGAACCCTCTCTAGGTGTAAAATCATCTGTCGACCGAGACACTGTTCATTCGATGAATGTAGATGTAAATATATATATACAAAACTTCGAATATTTTATATATCATTGAGAATTTTATTCGTGAAAAGTTTAAAGTTGAAACTTGACTTTTTATGCGATCATAATCTCTTTTGAAAAACTCATCTCGAGAACAAAACCCTGGAAAGCTAAACGATTCTATAACTCATCAAATAAATATTGTCTCGGTTAAAAATCAGTTTGACACTAAGAGAGGTATTCTTATGAGTTAAATTTAAAAAAGGTTCGCAGTTGCAATACTATCAGGTACCCCAAAAGTTTTGCAACATATTTTTTTTTGTATATATTCGGGCTTAGAAATCGCACATGATCTTAATGATGAAGTCATTCTAACAAAAACCCGCCATTTTAGTTCTAATTGAACTCAACACGATGTTTTGATGAGTTTTCAAGCCAGCTCTATCTATTTACTGAAAAATCAAGTAACAGAATTTCAATGTGAAATGTAGCCGATACATAGGTCTTATGATTTTTAGCATATCTTGAAAGCTTCAGCTTAATAGATGTTTTTTTCCTCTCGAGATATTGAATTTTCAAGCAAGCCTATAGGAAACGAGTATTTCTTTTTTGAAACTCAATATCTCATCAAAAGAATATTCTTTTCGACTAAGATATAGTTTCACGCGCTGTTTCTGAATACACGATTGATTTTCAATAAAAAAATTCTTTGGAGTCCGAAAAAATCAAGACTTCTAGGAAAACCAACTATATGGTATAGAAGCGAGTAAATTCTAAGTGTAGTGATAAAGAATATAGATTGACACGCGTTAATTTTTTTGAGCTTAGCCATTCTGAGTTGTTCTATTCCACTTCAAATTCGTAACAAAAGCTTTTACGCTATTCAATAGATGAAACAGTAACTTTCACTTTTTATCTATTCTTCACTTGCATGCACACTGTGCTGTACCTGAGCCTTGAAAAAATGTAGACCCACAGCTCTCTATTTTTCATATTCTTCTATAACTCGAATGAATTCTTTGATTTCAGTAAGAGAAAAACAAATAATGTTAACATACCAGCACGAGCTGTTCGTCCTACTCGATGAACATATTCTTTTGGTACAAATGGTACATTATGATTAATAATCAGATCAACACTAGGAATATCCAAACCTCTAGACAGAAAAACTACATAAAATTGATTCGATATTATCGAATTCTTTTACCTTGATGCTACATCAGTAGCAAATAAAATACGAACTTGAAGAGATTTAAATTTTGCTAATGAAGCTAAACGTTGTCGTTGTTTCATAAGTGAATGAATTTCAACAGATGGCATATGAAATTTTCGACACATCATAGATAAAATTTGACAATCACGACATGTACTAGTAAAAACAATAGTTGAACTACTATGTTTTTTAGCTTTTTTTTCATCATCATCATCATCATCATTGTTACCATGATATAAAGATAATAGATGAAATAGGTAAGCATCTTTAACATTAGCTGGTACTAATAAATAATATTGATCCAACTTATCTACTGGTTGATGTCTAATTAAAATATAACATAGGTCTTTTCTTTTCTTTTCATCAAAAATTCTTACAATAAATTTCCATCGAATACAAATGGTTTTCGTTCTGATATTGATTGTACTTTTTTAATTGTATCAGTTATTGTTGCACTAAATAGAAGTGTTTGTCGTTGTTTTGGTAATATTGAAAATATTGTTTGTAATTGTTTACCAAAATTATCTTCTAATAAACGATCAGCTTCATCAAGCACCTATAGGAAAAAAATATATAGATAAATAAATGAATTTTACACATAATGCTTTATTTCTTTTTTTGTTTTTTTTTTTTTGTTACCAAGAATTTTATTTTATTCAATGAAAATTCAGTACCACTTTCAATATGATCAGCAAGACGTCCTGGTGTAGCAATAACAATATGTGGACTTTTCGTTAGAGCTGAATTTTGAATCATCATATCTTCATGAGAAAAATTATTTAAAAAAAAAGACAAAACAGATTAAATCGTCATTGACTTACCCATACCACCGGTAATTACACAATCTTTCAAGCTTAATGGTTTACCAAAAACACGAAATTGATCAGCAATTTGATAAGCTAATTCTCTAATGAAAACGAAAAAAAACAAATATTGGCTTTTTTGTAATACAAAAATATACCGTGTTGGTGTGAGAATAAGTGCAAAAATACCATAAATATCATCACTAAGTACATCAAGAATAGGTAACGCAAAAGCAGCTGTTTTACCAGAACCCGTTTTAGCACATGCTAAAATATCTTGACCTATTGAAAATGTAATTTTAATTAAATATTAAGAAAATTATATGTATACCTTCAAGAATACGAGGTATACATGCATGTTGAACAGGTGTTGGATGTTCAAAGCCAAGTAAACGACATTGACTTTTTAACCATTTTTTTATTGGTAATGAATCAAATGATGATGATTCAACAAAATCTTTTCGTAATTGTGCTTCTTCTTCATTGTCAGTCATTCTTTGTCTGAAAAGTCAAAATATAAAATTGTTTTTATTTTTGATTGAAAAATTATATTGTAAAATTTTCTTTTCAAATAAATAATCTTAAAAATTTTTAGTTTCTTAATTAATGAAGTTTTATATTAATTTTAGTTAGTCTTACGTTGGTAAACTATATGACCTAACTGATTCAGTCAGTCCATCAGTGTTTATTGGCTAATAGATTTTACAAAAACATAAGCTCGACAATAGATGGCACTACTAATTTCGTTAATCAAAAGACTTTGTTTTCATTCGTCATATAATGTGACCATTTCTCAGTGTTCTATTCAGACATTTTTTTTTTATCATATATTTCATTTTTTTCTTTCATATTTTTTTAAATATTAGCATAATACTATTCCATTAATAATTTTTTTCGAATTCGTTTTGATTGTTTAGCCTTACATGAAACAAATATGCACTTATATCAAACAGTAATTCACATTATTAGTGTTTCACTTAGTGCATCAAACATACGTAAGGAATGAAGAAAAAAGTGCAGAGAAAATGACGTATGAATGGATATTTCAAAAGGTTACAGTTGAATAGTTTTTGCTGTAATTTGCATGATATAATTTACTTCTCTTTTTTCCCTATGGGTGATATATCATGATCAGTGACAAAAAAGCCTATATGATGAGTAATCATTGATTATTCGACGATAATAGTTCCGATTTGAATATAAACGTGGAAAGAATCTGATTTTATCTAAATAACTAAACTGATTATGGGTAATAGCTTCAAACGAAAAAAAGGTACTGCTCAAGTTGTTCCACAACAGAGTCCAGTATATGTGTTTTCTCAACCACAACAACCAGTTCAATACAATCCAGCTATTGTTCAACGACAACCGCAAGTAACTTTTCAAGGTGGATTACCGTACTCATCACCATTTATTACAAGTCAAACAACATATGAAAATGATATTTTTCTTTCAAGTTTAACCGGTTGGTCTATACAAGATATTGAACGATTACGGCAAGAATTTTTAAATTATGCTAATCTGTATGGCGTAATAGATCGTGATGGATTTCGAAAACTTTATATTGCTTCATTACTTAATACGACATGGCAAGGAGTTGAACTTAATACTGAAGCAGCTTTTCGTAGTTTTGATGTAAATCAAACAGGAGCATTAGATTTTAATGAATATATTATGGCATGTTTACGTATGATTAGAGGAATGTAATAAGCTACTAGCGCATTCCTCTTATTATCATTAACTAAACATTACTTCATTCAATTTATATATATTTTTTGACAATATTGTTTAAATAAAAAAAGAATTACTTTTTTTATTCCTGTATAGTGACGTACGAAAGTTTGTTGTACTTGTATTTTTGATTTTTCTTCAAGATAGTCGGTCGACGAGCATGATTTTATTGTATGAAATAAAAATTTTTCGAAAAGTTTCCATCCTATTCAGAAAAGTAGTATTGGAGTTGTCAATTTTTCTCAGTCATTCTTCTAAGCACTTTTTTTTAGAGCCTTTGAATTACTCACTTCTAATAGAGATTTCTTTTAGCTACACAAATGTTTTTTCAAATTCTTGCTGATTATTACTATGAAGAAGAAAATTTTTAAATACGAATCAGTCTGAACTTTTGTTTACTATTATATTTGTCAGATTAAAAGAATTGTTCATTTTAGATGTCTAACATTGATCATAATAATGATGATGGTCTTGGAGAATATCGTCTAGCATTAGCTACTCAAGCTCCTGAAAATTCTCTATCTAAACAAGAAAAACGTGCAGAATTACGTTCACGTTTTTTAAATGTTCTTGAATATTTAAAAACTAATCAAACTATTTCACCTATTGAACTTGATTTTTATCGAGAATCATCATTAATTGCTGCTCGTTGTCTTAGTATAGATTCAAATTTTTCTCAAATATTCGTACAAGATTTACAAACATATATTGGTCATATGCCAACAGCATTGATTCGTACAAACGATCTAACAGCTATTTCATTTACAATTAAATCATAATGACAATGACGATTGAAGATCAAACAATTGCAGCAGCATTAAAAGAAAAAACACCTTTTGTGGTAGGATTTTTGTTTATTTTTTATTTTTTCATTTGATTGTTAAGAATATTAAAAGTAAAAAATAAATAAACATACAAAAGTGAGAAAAAAAAGATAAATATATTATTTCTAGTATATTGATTCGTGTCTAACTCAATCAATCGATGAAGATGATGAACAATATGAAGGTTGTTTATGTTCATTGAATGATACTTGTACAAATTGTTCATGTGCAAATCGTTTTGGTATTAATTATAATTCATTAAATTGTTTAAATATGAATAAAAATGGTCCAATATTTGAATGTAATTCTGAATGTCATTGTTCATTTGAAAATTGTCAAAATCGTGTTAGTCAAAAAGAAGATCAATCAAAAAATATTGAAATTATTTCAATATCTAATAAAGGTTATGGTGTTATTATTAAGAAACCTATTCTTCATTCTGGTACATATATTGGTGAATATATTGGTGAAATTTTATCAGAAAATGAAGCTCATAATCGAATATTATTAACTAAAAATTATGAACATAATTATTTATTACTTTATAATGAACATCAATCAGAAAAAATAATAAAAACATTTATTGATGCACGTTATTATGGAAATTGGACAAGATTTATAAATCATAGTTGTAATCCTAATTTACATATTGTACCTATACGAATTGATCAACCAACACCACCACATTTAGCTTTTTTTGCATTAAGAGAAATTGAAGCAAATGAAGAATTATCTTATAGTTATGGAACAACAATTGATGAAAAATATTCTAAACCATGTTTTTGTTCAAGTACATCATGTACTGGTTTTATGCCTTATCAACATACAGATTTAAATTAATTAATATCTATATTTGATTATTGTTCCGAACATTTTTTTTGATAACTATATGAACGAAAATGAATAAAGAAAACAAAATATAGTTCACACGAAAATTAGTTAATCAAAGAAAAAATTGAAACGCTCCATGATAGTTCCATTAAATAAGCTATTTTTTTTAGCGATGATGAAGGAATGTTGCTGGTTCATATCCTTAAGAAAAATATTGAAAAGAATCGTTTAATGTATCATTGTAGATTTCGGGAAGGAAATGGAGTCTTTCTCGATTATCTGTAAAAACACTTTCGAAAGAGGATATGTCCGGCTCACCAATAGCTTAGGGTTCCATGTTTCGCGAAATAGTAATAGATCACCTGCTCAAAACAATTTCTGAAAGATTTGGTATTTCATAAAGTTTGCACCGAAACGTTGAGTTTTCTTCTCCAGGACTCCAGCATTCTGATAAAATTAGAATTTCATATTTTCGCTTTGAAACTGTGCCGTGAGCATGGCCTCAAAGAGACTAACTTGTGCATAAAGTTTCAGAGTCTTTTGCATGCAGTATCGCCGAGATGTCAATTTTTTGAAAATCTCTATGTTTTACACAATATTCATGGAGAAGTGTCAAAATTTTGAGAAATTGATATGTCGAAAATATTGCATACAGGATTTCAGGTCAAAAATTTGCAGCTGAAATTTTATCGAACAAATTCCATCCGAGAGAACAAAATCCAACGTCTCAGCTAAAACTTCCCCAAAGAGCTAATCCTTTAAAGATTATTTTGAACATATGATCTACTACGATCTTGTAAAATATAGAACCCTAGACAATGGATGAGTCAGGCAGATCTTCTTTCGACGAAAGTGTTTTTTTTTCTGATGATCGAGAAAGACCGTATTTTCGTGTTGGAATCTGCATTGATATATCGAAACGATTCTTTTCAATATTTTTGTTAAGGCTATGAACCATGAACACTCCTCTATCATCGGTAAAAAAGAAATCAGCTTATTTAATGGAAATGTGACGGAGATATTCAATTTTTACTTCGGTTAACTGACTTTTAGATCATCTTGTACTTTCAAAGTAATATCTTTTCAATTTATCTGGTAGAAATGATAAATATTTTCTTCTCAGTCGATACGGGATTGGGGGTAGGCATATGCAGGATCAAGAAATAAAACTTTACCGAGACGATAATCTGACACTATATGATATCCTTAACTCAATGATCTTTCAAGTGAAGTTTTTCGTACATCGAAAATCAATTTACTATTTTCATGCTAATATCTTGTAATACAAAAAAAGACACATCATGATGAATGAGCCGACATGAATACAAATGAGATCTGTTAATATTAAATATTAATTGTATTTTGTTAATCCTATTCACTGGATGTTGCTATGTCATCTATAGACAATCGTCTTTTTTTCGTTTGTGAATATGATTGTGATAAATTCTTTGTTAGTACAAGTTTCCTTGGAATAAATGATGGAGAAATTGTCTCTTCTGATTTGATTCACAAAATTATTTTAAATAAGCTAAATCTTTATTTAAGAACATGATTTTATCTATTTTTCGGATAACTGTTACATCTGAGTAGACATGTGTGAGACTACAAAAAAACATAGTGTTGCATGTGTCTAGTTGGCCGAGTGAAGAAATTTTTGCCATTTTTTCATGTTCGGTCTTTTTTTTTTTTTATAGAGAACAGTTAATTAACAACAAGTTTTTCATGATGCGATATCTCGTTTCTAACTTTTATGTGCAAAAACAAGATAAGAACAGTTGTAAATAAAATAAAATGAGACAATTACTATAGCCTTGTGAATAAAGTAAGAGTAGTAAAATCAATTCTTTTCTTTCATACAGATCCATATGAAAGTAAATAGGTATAAAGTTTTATAAACAAAAAATCTAAATTTAAATTTGTTTACCAGCAAAATATATTTATTAAGATTTAAATTAATGTTTTATTACACTTCAAAAATGTAAACATTAGCTGGTGGAGATGTTCAATGATGCAAGTTCATCAATTTTTCTAGCAAGAGTTAATTTTTGATGATTCTAGAATTGTGTGACAGGATCAAATTAAATGGAATGTTTAGCAGAGTCAAAGCTTTTTAACAAATGCATTATTCATCGATAGACTGTTAGTATAAAATTGATAAAAAAAAATGATTGTTTCTAATAAAGACAGATTTAGAGTGCCGTGTCCACACCAAAACGTCCATTTTAATAATAAAATGGAAGATTTTTGAGATAAACATACTGGAATTTCGTCAAGAAACATTGAAGACAATCCTATATGCTATTGAGTGTATATGTCATGAAGGACGCAATTCGATACATCGTGATTAAATTTATTGATTGATATATCACATGACCATGTTTCATGTTAATGGGAAGTGCAGACAAAAATGACGTATTTTTTCTCGAAATCAATCTTTGCACAAGTTTTTTTAGCATATTTCGTTATAGTGAACTGTATTCTTTTGATTATGTTTTTAAGAACTTGACACTTCTTCGAATAAACGGAAGAACTGTTTTTAAATAAGATCTAATTCTATATAAAACCTTGTCTGTTTGGAAAACGTCTGATAATATTTGAAGATTTTGGTCTTTCCAAAAATGAATAAAGGAATAATTTCGAATCTACTTCAAATAAAACAATCTTTGATTCTGTATTCCAAAGTATAGCGAAAAGAAATTTGTACAGGCCTAGCGTAAATTTTGAATCTGAACACTACGATTTACAAGCATAAAAGAAGTCTCGTAACTTTACTTTCATATCTAACAATTGTGGGAAGCTTCATGAAAATTCTCTGTATTTTATCTAAAATTCATTTCAGATGATTGGGGGGGGGGGGGGGGTAAGATAACGCAGGGATACGTAATAAGTGATAATAAAATAAATATAATTATGTTATTAGTCTGAAATTAAATTCCATATGCATTAATGGATATTTCTATAAATTAATTCTTATTGAAATATGCCAAAACAATTTAAGTTTGTCATATAATCTGATGAAATATTCTGTTATTGCACCATTCAAACATTATAACCTCGAAATGAAGGTCAAAAAAGCTGTTTTTTCCTTTACTCTCTATACAATCCATCGCTCTAACATATGACGCTATAGAAACGATTAATGCATGCAGTAACCGCACCATCGTTTTTTTTTTTCTTTCTTTCTATATTCTGACAGCCATAGCTTCAATGCATGGTCGTGTTATAGTATTTTTCAAAATTATTCTCTTTTCTTCGTGTTCACTCGTCACTAAATCAACGTCGACACAAACACATAACACGCAATAGGAAAGAGTACAATAT